GAACTGGTATGTATTTGTGATGGCGCGGCTCAACCTAGGTGGCTGGCCGGAGGAGGGGTCAAGAGCTGAGGTTGCCGCTAGCTAACGGAGGGTGGTCCGCCTGGGAGTTCAAAGATAAGGGTGACAGATGCGGGAACACGGAGCTAAGCGATCGTCGCTAGTAAGGCTATTCGGATTGTCGAGAACGATGCGAATGATAGAGATATGTAGTCCGTCGTCAAGATCGGGCTCCGGGTCGGGCTCGGGATGGAATGTGCATGAAGTGAGTGAGTGAGGAACGGACGAGGCAGTCTTGGTGGGGCAAGGAGGGCGCCCTCCAAGCTTAGCTTCGCGGGGTGTCTCCGGTACGTACTCTCCGGGTGCGCGTGAGCGTACCTTGGGTGGGCTGGGCCCCGCTGACGTAGTTTCACTCAAGAGCCCGTGGAACCGACCCTGAAAACTGGACTTGAACACAGGTATTATGCAGCATGCCGGCAAATAAAGGAGAAGAACAAATTGACTCAAACATTGAAGAATTCTCACTTGACTTCTGGAGTCCTTCCCGTCAAAGTTTCGGGTCCGGCAAAGCACATGGTTGGAGAAGATGACCCGAGTTCAAGGTACCTTGCCTAAGGTACTGCTGGCTGGACCTCTCTGAACAGTGAGCTTTGGGATGTCCCGTCAGGACATCTGACGAAACAAAGCTCGCACAAACGCTGGAAGCACGAGCCACTTCTCCTGGGCCAACCAGCTTCAACCCTGTGGAGTTCTCACTCCCCTGAAGACCACCGGCACTGCTCGGCGCCGTGATCCGGCTTGGCCAATCGCAGTGAGTGGCCGAAACAACATGTCATGTGATCCCACATTGCCCGAAAGATGCTTTGAACCTCGTTGACGACTAGAGGTTTATCGGTCTTTGCGAGAGCTCACAACTGTTTTTCTCAGCTTCTCAAGGCTGTTCCAGAACTTAATCGGAATTTTGGTCACTGTTCAATGGGTTGAAGCCCCGAGTCCAGGCATGGCACCTGTTACCCACAAGAACGCGGCCATGGCGGCCTGTGAATGCACTTCAAAGGTATTGCTTCCCGGATTGAACGGGATTGAGTCAGGCAGTATCCTATAATAATCAGTCTTACGAGAAAAATCTTAGGCCCTAGTCTCAAAATATGGGTCCGATTGCTCATTCAGGCTCACTTAACTCATAGCATACCTCAACTAAGCTATGAAGTAATGACATCTTTGTTCATTTATCTAGGAATTTTCAATCGCAGACCCTTTGATACAATTCCATACCAATGCAAATTTGATAGTCAATCAAAGAAACACAAACATTTGATTCGGTAGCACCCATCTCTCAAACTTACTGTCTACTTCTCTGCGTTCTCAACAGCATCCTCAGCGACATCCTTCGGGGCCTCCTCAACAGGGTCAAAGCAGTGACACTTATCCTTGCTGTAGTCCATGGACCAATGACATCTTGTGTTGTGGCAATCTCCATACTTGTACCGACGGTCGGAGTCGTCTGGCCGCTTTGCAGTAGCCCACTTGCAAAAGTCGACAACAGCGTTGATGACACGCAAAGTCATGATGATGAAAAGTTTGAGGAAAGTTGGTAGGTGGGGTGGAATCCAAACACTAGAGTGGCGAGTCAGAAAATGGCTCGGTGAAGTTAACAATGTTCGAATGAAGTTGCTGACGTTGTGGTTGAAGACGAGTAGATTCTGTCTGGTGGCTTCGATCCCTCTGGTTAAGTAGCCTCGGACGAGGACCTTTCGAAACCATATACTCAGGAAACAGAAGCTTGGTCAAGTCTTTACGACTCTCTAGATCTAAGCTGATGGCTTATTGTGCTCCCTACATGGTGTGAAAGACTCGATGCATTTTCAGAGATGCTGTTAGATTGAAAGGTTGAAGACTTGAAAGCTGTGTCAAACAACCATCATCGTTTCCTCGGCACATACCAGCAACAGATCCAGAGGACATATCCTTTCATCGAGTGTTTTGATCGATGGTTATACTTCAGGCAACAAAGGGATACCGTCCCCCTTTGTATACATAGGATGAACGGATCTTCCAAGTCGGGCTAAGCACTCGAGTAAACTTCACGATCAAAGGTTCAAGGATCTATAGGACGAACAAGGGAGTGTCACATTCAGTGCAATCCTTCTTGTGGGTGCCGGCGCCAGCAAAGAGCACACAGGAGTGCCCTGCGCCAGTTCCATATCCTACAAGTACTTCCGCATGTGGTAAACTATCAATACGAAATGCCATCATCTTTCATCATCCAGCTAGAACTCGTTCCCATTGGGCTGTCTTTGGTTCCAATCAATGGCTTCGCGCCAGCTTGAACAATAGCAATATCCTTCGAGTAGACGTGGTGTGCCAGACGGAAGAGAGGGTGTTCCATCCCAACCAAATATCAGAACTTGTGCGTGCTCCAGTCCTTGCCTTCTTCCTCGTCTTCATCCCCTGTCTCCTCTGCATCGCCGTTTTCTTGAGCATCGTCATTCGCGTCGCCATTCTCGCCCTCTTCGTCTTCGTCGCTATCATCATCATCGTCGTCGTCTGCATTGAAATCGGGCATAACAATACTGTTCAAGAAGGTAATCTACACCATGTGTCAGCACATCCATCATCCAAACGACAGCCAGTCGGCTACTTACGAATGGGTGCATCGCGGCAATGATCTCACAAATCTGCTCTTGGGCGTCGTCCTCGGTAAACACCTTGTCATCAACCTTCTTACTAATGGTAAAGTTGCGCAACTTCAACAGCTCGATATCACGGTGGTCGACCAGGTAGCCCTACGAAAGCGTGGCTTAGTGCAGTTCCGCAATGACCGTGATCTTCTCTTTGCCCATCATGAATTACAGGACCGAGGATTATTTGGAGACATACCTTGGGCTTGGTCTTCAGAGCGTTCCCCATATTCGTCTCAGCAAAACCCTTCAACGCGGCTTCCTCGCCCCCCTTCTGCAACGATTTGGGCAAGAAAGTCCTCTTGAACCTTTCATCATTCAAGACCCTGCGCCACCGACGCGGCCGCTCATCGATACTCTCTCTCAGCTTCTGCAAATGCGACGCCTCGGGACACCACAGTCCACCGCCCACGAAGCAAGAGCCTGGCTGAAGGTGGATATAGTAACAGGCGTAAGGACCCTTCTTACCCGTCCTAGACCATGCCGCAGAGAAGTGCGCCTGTGCGTTTGAGATCCTTAGTACAATTCTCCCATTGAAGTTCAAGCAGACTAAGAGCGATGAAGAATGGCAGGTACCTTGTAAGGGGTCGGATCCTTGCTGAAGCGAATGTCGCGGTGGATGCGAAAGACGAGGTCCTTGGCCGGTAATTCTGGGATGGTAAAATCCACTTCGGTGATCTTTGGCGTGATAGTTTCGACAAAGGTGTTCCAGTCTTTTAGGGAGCGTCTATACTCGCCGTCGTGGCCTGCGCTAGATCAGCATCCGTAATACATCAAGAGGGTTTCCTTGTGGAGCCTACTCTTCAGCCACGATCTCTGATTGTGAGCTCTCAGGTCCTTCAAGAACAACAGAGTGTTTTTATGAACGGTATCGTCAGAGTAGTCCTGCCCATCGAGACCTCGAAGCTTCTCATGCGGAATGATAGTGACCCTACTCTCGTAATCTTCCTCGTCGTCTTCCTCTTCGTCTTCATCCTCTTCAGGTTGCTCATCCTGATACTCATCCTCAACCTTCTCAATCTTTTGCCTCTTCACTGCCTTTGGCCTGCGGGGCGCGGGCTGTGGCTTGGCTTTAGGTTTAGCGACTGAACCCTTTGGCCGCCCACGTCCACGCTTCTTGGGTTGCTCCTCCTCCTCCTCTTCTTGACCATTACCTTCGCTCTGCACCTCATCACTGTCACTCTCAACCTTCGCATTTCCATCAAAGTCATCATCATCGTCGTCACCCTCAAAATACATGCTCTTCTTGGGAGTGCTTGACACACGCCGCGACCGCCGGCGAGGCTCATCCTCAGCGGCCGGCGACGCAGCACGCTTACGAGCGGGCATTGTGTCGAATTACTTCTCTGCGGGTTTAGCCCAAAGAAAGTCAATTGATATCTTTCAAGGTCGGGCCGTTCTGCAGTTGGTCGTTGTGCGCATGCAAAATGATTGGGTCTCAAAACCAGAAATTCGGTATCGAAAGCCAGAAAGGTGTCGTGCGTCATCGAGTGGGCGACCGCCGGGGGCATGGCGACGGACGCGCCGGGATCCAGACGCAGGCTGAACGCGCCATCACATGATCTTGCACGTGTGCTTATCGTCTATCAGCGCCGCGCGCATTCCGCGGAGGCGGGGCCGGACTTCGAACGTCTGCCGTCCGGATAGAATCAAACGACCGACCGGCTTCCTGTTCTTCGAATGGCCCGGTGCCGCTCACACTAGGTTTCATTGTCCGCTGATGCCTGCAACCTTCAAAAGCATGCCTCTTGAGCGGGAAAAATTTTCGCTGGGAGTTTAAGCGTAAACTCCAAACGTCATGCAACGAAACCACGGCACTTTCAGGCTTGTGCTTCAGCGGACTCGCATGAAGTTCGTATGAAGAGGTACATCTTTATCTCATTCTCAAACCTTATGAGTGAGATTCTGTGAATGTGGCAACATACTGCTCCCATGATACCGCTCCCACGAGGAGGGACTTGGCTCATCACCCTTGCATACCCTGATTGATGATCTGCTGGTAAAACTTGTCGTGAGAATGCCTCAAGACCGCCATCATCTACGCAGTCGTCTGCTCCCTCAATGGGAATGATAATATGTGATTTTGGTATTGCGAGCGAAGTAGAATGATGCTATGCGACTCGCACAACGAAACCAAGCAGGAGTGCAGAGGATGTCGTTCAAACAAGGCTTGGCAGCACAAGATAGTAGACCATTGCAATTCGTTGGAACATAGCCATTCTATCGTCGAGGGGGCCGCGGGGCCCGAATTCCGACAACTTTAAATACCAAGATCACACGCACGAGTCACCATCGGGGCAAAACTCCGCAATTTGAACATGTCACTGCGCCAGAAGTCCGCAACATGGAAGTCTGCCGCGACGTTGGAAATGGCAATCTCAGCACTACACGACGGCTTCTTCCGGGGTTCACTCTTTCGATAGAGACAGAAATCTTCAACCTGCCGAATACTTGCTACACGTGTCCCGATATGAGATCCGCTTCCCCTCAGCCTGAAGTCAATGCATTCTTGGAAAATCCGCACAGGGGCGGGTCTCTGCGAAGGCCTCCAAAACTCCAAGATTGCTTTATGTTTTGAGACAACAAGCCGCTTCATGATCGACTATAAGTACAAACGTGCTGGATCTGGTCTTGTGCTAAAGGATCCAGCTGTTATCCATCGTACTTGACAACTTCAATAACACACAGGCCAATTTCTACAACTCTTAAATCACCATCACATCCATCATGGTTGTAGTCGCAGTCGCCGGAGGCACGGGCGGTGTCGGCAAGACCATCGTTGAACAGGTAAAGCTTAGCAAGAAGCACGAGGTGATCTTACTTAGTCGCAAGGTAAATGCCACAGCCGCAGCCACCTGCAAACACGCTTGAACCCCTTCTAACCAAGCCATCTAGGCTCCTACCACACCCGCCTCAGGCGGAGCAAAGATTGTGCTTGCTGACTACGGCAATATCGAGGCGCTGTCTCTGCTGCTCGAGGAGCATAATGTCGAGACAGTCATCTCCACGATTGGTTTCGTGGGCCCAGAGGCCGCCCAGTCGCAGCTCAACCTCATCGCCGCAGCCGACAAGGCCAAGTCGACCCATCGATTCGTCCCCAGCGAGTTCGGAGTCTGGTTGTCTCCAGAGTACGGAGATTCCTTCCATCCCGAGACGCCTTCCCCTCTTAGGTGCTGCAGAACCTACTGACACTTAACCAGCGACACGAACGCGGCGATGTTCGGGGCCTGGCTGGACGCAGTCGCTGCTCTTAGAAAGACTGGCCTCATGTACACTCGCGTGATCAACGGGTGGTTCATGGACTACTTTGGCATGCCGCACACCCCAAGCAACCTCACCCCTCACACCTGGGCCATCGACATCGCGAACCGCCGCGCCGCGATCCCCGGAACAGGCAACGAGCCCATGACCCTGACCTACTCGGTAGACGTGGCCCGCTTCGTCGTCCGCATGCTCGACGACGCCGACTGGCCCGACGTCAGCGTCATCAGCGGCTCAGACACCACGTTCAACGAGATCCTGGCAATCGCAGAGAAACTCACGGGTACGTACGATTTTGTTTTGGAACTTTGAGGCAAAAATGCTACCAGGGTCACCAGGTGACGCTAACATGGCCTATTTTCTCGCCAGGAGCCAAGTTTGACGTCGTCTATGACGGAGAAGAGAAATTAAGAAACGGCCAGGCAACCGTCTGGTCGGCGGGCTACGGCGCAGGACCGGCGACAATGGAGGAGACGCAGGCGATGATCGCTCTTTTCGGTTTGATGGGCGTCGAAGGCAGGATCCTGGTGCCCGGGGGTAACCGCCTGAACGCAAAGTACCCAGATATCCGCCCCATAGGCATTGAAGAGCTTCTTACCAAGGCCTGGGCTGAGTAATAGGATTCGTTCTGTCTCAGGACTAGTGCTTAGGTTGAAGTACTTTGTCTCTCATCGCCGCTAGCTTTTCGTCTCTGCCGTCAATCCCCTCTACACGATGTTACCTTTTTGTTTTGCATAGTCTCTTTCAGATGAAGACGCATCTTTTGATCCTCGTCCTCGTACCTCTGAACATCTCCTGCCGCCGCTGGTACCCTTGTGCGGGGGTTGAGTCTCGATTGACGGTGACTGCATTCATTGTGACGAAATTCTTGTTCCCTTAGATCCAATTCAAGAAGTGAAACTAAGTTGCTCAATCACAGCCAGACATGCTGCTCTAAGCCGCTGCCTAACCCGACGGGATCCGGAAGCTAAGTCTGCCGATCCCTACAAACTGGACCTCACACACGTAACTCAAGGATATAGTAAATTGAGACAAGTAAGCCGACTAGTCTAGACCGGCATAGGGCCTGGTCCGCCTGGCTGCAGGTTGAAGTAGAGTTAAATGTCGATCCGATTCCAAAGTCCCAAAAACCACACAAAAAAGTCAGACTGCCCCGCCAAACGCGGCTTTGTGGATATGGTAGGGAGCGGCCGCCAGCCACACCCGCCGGGCCATGCCGTTTAAATATCCTAGCCTCTTTAATATCCTAGCTGCTCAAAGTCGCCGGAAAGTCTCCGCTCATTAATAAAAAGCGAAGGATTCTAACCGTAGTAGAGCTTAATCTTGAAGAGTATAGAGAAGTAAAGGAGCCGCAGCGCTCGGTGGACAGAAGTCTCACACCGCCCCATAAAGGAGCAGCCAAGTTCCGTGTTCCCAACCTTCCTAATGGGTCGAACCGACATGGTTGATAGAATCATTTCCTAACCGGGTATTGATCTCAACGGTCCCGATGTTTTCAGCAAGATGAAATCTGCGGATTAATAGATCCTTCAACCGAAGTCCCGTACATCTCACGATGATATCTCATGTATTGACAGGGCAATTTTGCTACTCGAACTGCGGCCGACAGACCCACGCTGACTTCTGGTTCGGGGCTGTGTACAAGGTCTCACGATAGTCTCTCCCAACTTGGTAAGAGATTCGTCTAGGAGGCGAATTTCCAGGTCTTTGGATATCATCATTGGTGGTATAGAATTGTTCCCGCCAAGGCTCCCTGAAGTCCCTTTCAATGTTGCACGAGAATCATCTCAATACCCATGGCTCTAAGTGTCATCATTGGTTGTATAGAAGTACACCAGCCGCGGCTCCCTTGAGTTTCTTACGATGTTGCAATAGGATCATCCGGAAGGCAACATTCTAGGCTCTCCTAAGTCCCTTTTGATACAAGAGGATCATCTCAATATCCTAGCCGCTCTTAGCCGCTAGGTATCATCCTTGGCGGCATAAGACTGCCCCGGCCGTGGCTCCCTGGGTCTCTTCCGATGTTGCAATAGGATCACTCAGAAGGCAACATTCAGTGCTCTCGGTATTAACATTGGCTGTATAGTAGCTCCCTAGTCAAGGCTACCGTGAGTCCTGTGCGATGATCTTCAACTGCTCATCAAGAGGCCCATCGAAAAGGAGCCTTCGGTATTTAGATTTACAGGGAGATGGGATATCCAGGTAATGAACAATCAAGGTGGCGACCCGAGATAGGAGAATGTTGATGAATAGAGACACAAAGCTGGGTTCTTTTGATCGATACCCTAGTCCCACGATCGTGTCTTGACATCCGGAGACAACGAATTTGGGTACTTTAGTCCAAGATCCTAGTCTCAAGATGTATTCATGTCTTTGATACCAGGAGAGAAGGAGTCGGAGGATGACACAAAGACAACGAAATCAAGCGCTTTGGTTCGAGGCCCTAGTCCCGCGATGTATTCAGCCACGTCTCGACATCCAGAGGCAATAAAGTAGGGTACTTTGGTCGAGATCCTAGTTCTACAATGCATCACCGTCTAGTAATCAGGAGAAGAACGATACAGAATCAACTATAAAACCCTTCATTCATCCCACCTCCTCCTCTATTTCCCTTTCATCAGCATCAGCTTCTCACCTCATCACAACACTCTTCATTACAAACCATCTTCACAATCTTCACAATCTTCCAGACTTACCAGTCTCAACCCCGCAACCTCAAAATGAAGTCCTTCACCGTCATGGCTATCGCCCTCCTCGGCCTCACCAACGCCGCCACCATCCGCATCTGCAAGGACCAGACCCTCGGCAACTGCGTCACCATGGACGTCGGCAGCTGCAGTACGTTTCTCACCCTCTCGAATCCTCAGACCTCTACAGCCTTCAGGAATCATTTTTCTGCCTTCGAACGTGAAGCTAACAACCGATTCTAGCCAACTTCCCCGGAAGCATGAACGACGTCGTCAGCTCTGTTGACACTGGTAGTGCCACCTGCACCTTCTACACGTGAGTTGACTACTGCCTACAACCATGCTTCCTCTTCTTCAAAGAACGGAGCAAAAAGAAAAACGAGCCGTTTCATCTACGAACCCCCTAAACTATCATCAAGAGTCTGTTTCTAACACATCTTGTTCAACCTACTAGTGACGGCAGCTGCGGCGGCGCCTCCTGGACCACCAGAGGCCTCCAGAACACCGTCCCCTCGAACTTCAACGATAACCTCAGCTCCGTCCGCTGCTAGAGAAATCGTCCCCATCTTCGGAATTTTGGAACGTTCCACGGAGCGCTCCACGAAACATGATGGTCACATCGTATTTCTTCCAGTACTCTCTGTGATGGTCCACAGCAACGGGAGGAATTAGAGGCTACCAAGTGATTGTGGCTTGGAATTCTGATCCTTGCTTGGTTTCCAGGAAGAAGCAAACGATACCCAAGCTTGAATCGGCTTAATATCGCAACCTTAGTACCTATTCCTCCTTTATATAGAAAATAGACTCATTGAGTCCCCAACTCTCCTCTCGCTTTTTTCCAAAGATCACCGAGTCTCCTCTAGCATTCAGAATCCGGTGGCTCATACGTACTACACGCCACCACGCACTTGGCAAGTTTAACGGAGCCCTCTCTGGTGGGGGTGGTTTTACGGGGACTCTTACTATTTTCTTATGCTATTTATGCAGACTGCTATAGCTAGGCAAAAGAAATCAATATAGGAAATTTGGTTTCTATTTAACTACTTTTGGAACCAGTGATGTGTAAAATAATGAATACTATGTACAGGTACATAAAGTCAGCCCTTTTTATTATAATATCTTAACAAGACCTACTATTATTATAGATTCTTTTTCTTGTATTCCTCTTAGTCCTCCTGTTGCTATCCGTAACATCCTCTCTATCTTTTTTCTGCCTCGCATGTTCTCGGTACGTATTAGTACCTAATGCTTCGACGGATGACAATACCCAACAACGACTAAGCAACCAAGGATGGAAGACAAAAATTCCGCCAACAAATCACAAGATAGGCAAGGGAGACACGGATATGATTGTGAGCAGGCTGCTTGGACAGGCTTGAGTCACCTTGAGAAGTATAGTTTGCGGGGACAAGGCACTTTTCGGGCAAAGGCGGCCACCGTACGTGCCACGATGGGCAATTGGCAGGCGTTTACCATGCAGATTGTATACATCCACTACTTACGCTTCTTGCGCATTTTCCTTCTGACAAACAAGACATCCATCCCCCCTACAACCTACGTAATCCCTCTTCACTCGAACACATCTGTCTCCCAAAAACAGAATCAATCTTCACCAGCATCATGAATACTTCAATGGTTTGCTTCCTCATCAAAGTATTCATCTAGTGATCACAGCTGATAAAAATTGGGTAGATCCCACACCTCTTCACCCCGATGCGCGTTCCGTTGACACCGGTTACGATCCCAATACGCGCCTTTTCTCGGACAGCAACATCGCATTCTTAGACAGCAGCATCACGCGCAAAATCCAGAAACGCCTCTCCATTTCGCCATGTGCTGAAAAGAAGAGGCTAGTCGCAAACTACACGAGCGTCATAATACCAAGATCATCAGAGCTATGGAAAAATCGAATAAAGATCAAGTGTCCTCGGTCAGAGCTTTCGTAGCATCGATAGAAGACTATACTAAACAATAATTAGGACTATTTCTTTCTCTCCACGAGACCCTCAAACAAGTATGCCAACAACAAAAAATATAAACATACAACTTGAAATGATGATCAACAAAGTCGATGGTCTTGAAAAGATATACCGACCCCCTCAATGGAAACAGTTCTTTACGTAGGTTGCACCGAATTTCAATGTAAAGATTTATTATCTTGTTCGAAGTGTCTTGCCAACATTATTTAAGTCTTCGTTCCCACCGGGATAGTACCATGGATATTGTCGTGTGTTCTATTATCCGACCCGTAACTCCGACTTTACTCATATGTCGTGAGAAGCACCAACGAATTATTTTCTCATGATCTGCTAGAAGGCGTCAATACATATGGACGTACTTTCCTACAGAGGAATAACCAGCTGTGTATTTATCCGACCCTACTTCCCTCATATCCGCCTATGAATAGTCTAGAAATAAAGTGAAAAGTTAGAGAAAGACTGGTGGCGGATGCAACGACGCCTTCTAGCATTTGATGGAATAGCGTTTGAAGTAGTAATCAATACATCTTGCCCCTAGGAAGCACAACATCTGATGTGAAACCGCAACGGTCGATGCGGACAGCGCGAATGAGAACGGGAAAGGGAAACCGACTTGTAGGTAGCTAAATAGAACGAACCATCGCAGTTCACACGGGAGAACGCGTCAACGACAACATCAGATATGAACATTTCATTATTCATCCAGCAGCCTATCAACGCCCCACAAGCCCGTCAGGAACACATCTCTCGTCCGTACTTCATAACCCCTCAAGATCAAGCCAGACTAAGGTAAAATACGACAAAGGCGACATGGAAATAGCTAGATCAAACCGGCCGAGCCGCGCCACCCATCCGACGAGCCGATGAGCCCACCAAACAATGTACACGCAGAACAAAAATAAAAAGCAAGGTGAAAACCAAAAAAACAAAAAAAACGCAGTGCAACTAATTCTCCGACACCTTCCATACTGCGTCAAGGCACGTAACATTGGAACGCCAAGCCAAAGTATTTTTTCCCCTCCCATTTCCCCCATCGTCTGGCCGGTCCCCGTCTGTCGGTACTCCGCCGCCGGTTCGACGCCCCGAAATCCCGACCAGGGGTCGCGCACTCTCTCCCCTCTCCAACATGTGAGGGCAGACTAATGACACGCTGCCACTGCTCGATCCGTCCACTTCTGCAGTTCAATTCAACGCATTTGGCCTTTGGGAACTTCTCCTAATCCCAGAAGAATGCGCCTAGCGACTACGCCGCCATGTTGCGGTCTTCGAACACGGAGAAACACGCACGCAACAGGGAATCCCATGCCCTGCAAACAACCGCATCGGGAGAAATCATGTCTTGGCGTTGAGAGGTCGACCGACATCAATCCTCAGTGATGCCGCTGCCCCCGCCGAAAACCGTAAAAGTCATGCAGTGCAACGACCTCGACCAAGCGCTCTGTTATCTGGGCTCTGTCCACTTCATCCGAGATTCGGGTCGTGGGCAATGCGTCCCAGGGGTGTTCTGTCGCGGGGCTTCTCGACCAAATCAGCATACCCATCCAGGCTTGATCCCATCACCCTGACCATGTCGAAAATGTGCGAGCCCTTGAACGTCTCTGCCCATAGCCTGATGACCGCTGCAGCTAGCTGTCTCAACCTTGTGCTGTCGTTCGCAGAAACTTCGTTGTTGGCAGGTTGGCCGGCGGTAGGCCCACCCAGGGATGGATCGATGGGCACAGCAAATTCCGTCTCGTCCAGCATTCTCCTGACCGATTGTAGGAGATTCTTTTCTTCGGGGGTCGCAGGGGGGTCATTCGGTCCGATCGATGCGAGAGTAAGGAGCCATTTAGACAAGAGAATGGCGCATTCGAAGTTGCACACTACAAAGAAACGGGGTTAGCTAGAACAAGCGGTGCTTGAGGAGAACAGGTACTTACAGGAATGCTGAATGCTCCATTCCAGGCTCTTGGTCCTTGCAACGTAGTTGACGCCGGCCTTGACCAACATAGACAAAGCATGAATGGCCTGGAACACGGCTCTATGCAACCTCAACGTACGGACAAGTAGGGGCATGTTGCTCAACGACGAAGCGACCAGCATGTGATCTCTGGTTTCGAGGGATCGATTGGGCGGGATCTCGGTGTATAGACGGATATATGCCAAGCGCAGGAGGGCGGTAGAGTTGAACGCTACCGGGCCGCCCGGGAACGAGTCGCTATTGCCCACATGCCCCGCGTCGGCCGCCCTCAATTGGTGTCGGTGTTCGAAGCTCACCTGCCATATACGTAGTGCTGCAGTGACCTCTTCCACATCTTCCGGCTTTAATCCCCTCTGTGGTCCAAACGGCGAGCTGAGTGCGAATGAAGTTTGCTTTAGCAGGTAAATGTGCTGGAGCAATGCGTGGATGAGGACATAGTTTCCGAGGGACGACATGTGGGGAGGCAAGCCCTGTGGTGAAGTCGTCAGGACTCTGGAGAAGGCGTCGTGGACGGTGATTTCGACAGAAGGATAGTTTTGCCTGTCTTCCTGCCACTGCCATGCCGACTCAGCCCTCCACAACCTGGACGGGTAGGGCAAAAATAGACCAAGCTCCGAAGTGAGGATAAGAGGTGGCATATTGTATGCAATACTGCACAGGTTGAAGAAGCAGTAAGCTATGAGCTTCGTGCGCGTAGCTCCCTCAAGTCGAATCCAAGTCTCCCAATCCGGTGCAACGGCCGGGCTAGACTCGGCTATCAATCCCTCTTCGCGAACGAGCATAGCAAGGTGACTCTGAAGAGATAGAGCCTCATGCAAGATTGCTTTCGCTCCCCAAAGCCCGACTGCGAAGAGCAGCAGGACAGCCTGTGTGGTCTCAAGACGAGCTTGCGGTGTGTTTGGCGAGCTGTGAGGCAACGTTAGAGCTGGCAAGCAGAGCAAAGATGGGAGATACACTTACAAAGGCTCGCGATGAGTGTCTTGTGTCATCGGGCGATCCTGCTGTGCCGAGGCAAAGGTATGCCTAAAGCCAGAGCTGGGGGAAGGCCGAGTCGAGTGTGGGCTGTACGCAGCGGGTGTCGGTAGAAGAGCATGAACCTCATGACTATGTCTTCTTCGGATCTGCTCGAGCGCAACAGCCTTTGCAGCATACCACAGCGCGTGACCCCGGTGGCTCTCGAATCGGTACTGTGCACCAACAGCCAAGATAGCCAGAAGCAGCTCCGGGGCCATCTCAGCGGGCGTCAATGTTGGAATATGCAGGAACGGGAGATACTCGTGGAAACCGCTGATGTACCCCTCGAGGAATCGAGTGAGTGTATGTCTAAAAGGAAAGACAAAGTCATTTGGAATGACCGATGAGAACTCTTCCAGTCGGTTCTTGATGACTGTGTGATCGACGGCAGAGATACGGAGGGGTGCTCTCATTGACTCTTCGTGGCTCCTTGGACCACCTTCCATACCCTCCCGACCATCCGGCTGGACCGAAGGGAACCGTGACGGAAACTGTGATGACGGCTTGGACGGGCCACGGTGATGCATGTCGCCGCGGGGCCACAGTCCCCCCATTTGCTGATCAGACTCGAACGGAGGTGGCAAGTAGTGCGAAGAAG